GGAGAGGGGCGGAGGAAGCGGGAAAGGGGGAGAGACGTCTGAGGCCTTTACCTTAGTGCCTTAAAAAGGTCTTTGATCTAATGCAGTGAGGGGAAGGGTGAGGATCTATGTCTGCCCCTGACTGGAGAAAACACCTCAGTGGAAGGGCCAGCTGGACCACAAAACCATCAGACCACCCTCCACTCCTCTCTGTTTCTACTCTTCTCTTTCTCCCCTATGGGCTGAGCTTTGCTTTCCTCCCTTTTCTTCTTTTATTTTTATTTTTAGTCCCTCGCTTCATTCCCCTCCACAGACCTCTGAGACACAGTAGAGGGAACAGAGTGTCTTTTACTGTTTTACACACACGATTCTCAGCTCAGGGTATGATGCACCATGGGAAACTGAGTCCTTAGAGCCCCCTGCTCCCTCGTCTTCCTGCCCCTGTGCATTGCACACCCTCTCTGCTGTACAGAATCCTGGCCAAGTTTTCAATAAAAAGGAAAATCTTGATTTCAAAGATGTCGTTGTTGTTACTTATTACATAGAAATCACTTAAATTAATATAAATCAATAACACATTATTTTAAAAAATGGATAAAAATGTGGACAGCCAGACACTAAAAACATATATTTTTCTTTATTTTAATAATGCGAGCCAGTGTTTCTTCTGTGCGATCACAGTTTTCAGTGTCAACATATGGTTGTTAAAAATTCATTGAATAAACACTCATGTTGTTTCTGGTTTGGGTTTGTTAAACTTTTGCATACTCAGCTTTAAAAACCTCCCAGTGGCACAATGCTTTGTGTTGCATAGAAAAAGAGTCAGTTGGGCAGCAGAGCAGTTTCAGACATGTGATCATGTGACTGCTGCATTGTGCACAGGCTCTGCATAACAAGAGGTCCCATCGAAATTTCTATTTTGAACTGAACATAAAACACAAACTCATTTCCTTTAAACTGCTTTTATATATGGTAAAACCCCCAAACCAAAACATCTTAATAGCGATGAATCTACCAGAGTTATCACAGTTTTTTATTTTCTAGTTTTGTATTTTCTACTTAGTTATTCATTTTATTTCGTTTTGAGTTTTTGTTTTTAATTCAGTTTCTAGAGTGGATTTTCTTGTTTTGGTTTAGTTTTTATTGAAAATGCTTAGTTTTACTTGTTTTTTTAATTGTTTATTTAGTATTTTCAGCATTAATTTTAGTCTTTTTAGTTGCAGGGCATATGTCAGAGGCAGGATTCAGGAAAATGACCAAAGGTATTACAATAAAAAAGCAGAACTTTTTGAAAGCAGTCTCAATAAATGCGTCCATCAGTGACTAAGAAATACTGAAACTAAGGATCGTTTCTCTATTTTAACTCAATTTTAGCTTTTCAAGTTAACAAAAGTGTTTTAGTTCGTATAAATTTCCCCCCCAATTTTTATATTTATTCATATTTTAATTAAAAAAAAGTTTTTTCTACATCTAGTTTTAGTTTTTAGTTAATTCTAACCTCGCCGAGCATAAAATTCAATTAAAAATTTAAATGTTGAAATTAAAATATAATGTTCAACTGCTTTTAGTTCAAATTTCTAACCAGCCAATCACATGGCAGCAACTTAATGTATTTATGCCCGTAGACATGGTCAGGACGATGTGCTGAAGTTTAAACCGAGCATCAGAATGAGGATGAAAGCTGATTTAAGTGACTTGAATGTGGCACGGTTGTTGGTTATTGGTGCCAGACTGGCTGATCTGAGTGTTTCAGAAACTGCTGATCTGCTGGGATTTTCCCACACAACCGTCTCTAGGGTTTACAGAAAATGCTTCAAAGAACAGGAAAGATTCAGGGAGCAGCAGTTCATTGGGAAAAAAAATCTCTTGTTGATGCCAGAGGTCAGAGGAGGCTGACCAGAGTGCTTCGGATTAGAAGGAAAGGCAACAGTAACTCGCTTAACCCTTGTGTTGTCCTCGGGATTCCCATATACTTGTTTGCCATTCGCCTACGGGTCATTTTTGACCTGAGGACAACAGAAGAGCATATCTGGGCAATCAGCCCACAGCAACAGAAGACCACACCAGGTGCCACACCTGTCAGCTGTGTGATGAGTCTACTGAAACATTTGAATGATCAGAATTTGGCATAAACAACATGTAATAGCTGCCATCAGCTGCAATCCAAATACTTTACAGCACGACAGATTTTAGAGCTCAGTGTATCTTTGTTTAATACCTTAATTTCCTTAAAGATTGGTTATGTAGATTACTAATGAATACAAATATAGAAAAGTTGTTCATTTTAAAAATATATTATATCCATGTCATCCTCCTTATGTGTAGCAGTTGGTCCTTCTAGTACTTCATTGTCCATCAAACTAGTCTGGGTCTTTAATTATGTATCAGGTCATAATAATTGAACAATTTGTCCATTTTATATATGTTTTATTAATTAAAAACAAGTCTATGATTTTACAAACAAGCGTTTACACTCGAAGAACAAACACTCATATAAAAATACATCTAAAAAACTGAAAATCGTAAATGTGAAGCCGCTGATATGTTTGACATATTTATCTACTGTGCATATTACACCTTTAAATTCGTACATGTGCAGTCTTTGTTAGCTACAACAGTTTTTTTTGTTTCATTACTTTTTAATACAAAAATATAATTTGAGATGCACGCTCTTGAGAGCAAATGAAGGATGTCCACTACAGAGTAGTGTGATGCTTAGCCAGCAGTTGCATAATGTCTGTCTGACACGTGGACTGGTCAGCGGGACATCATTCGCACAAACTCTGAAAGAGACGAGAAAAGAAGTGAGAGGGAAACAGAGGACGATAAACACGATCAGTCATCAAGGCCTTCCCACACCTTCAAAGTCCACCAGGCCATCTCCGTTCAGGTCAGCGTCTTTGAGGATCTCGTTGATCTCTCTGTTAGTCACTTGTTCTCCCATCAGCTTCTTCATGGCCTCACGCAACTCCGTTAAACTGATCTGGCCATCACCATTAGAGTCAAACTGGATACAGACAGAAAGAAACAGTCCTTTTAAGCACAATTATGAATATTCTTCAATTATTTACTTATTATATTTATCGTGTTTTGCTCATGCATTTGTGACTTTAATAACAGAAAATATTAAAGTTTTATAATCTGGGAAATCTTCATTTTTAACAGAAATATTCATCATGCATTGTTGTAGGTTTGTCAGCCACTAACATGGTGAGAAAACTGCCCCGAAAGGTCAAAAGACAACTAAAAACAGTGAAGGTTTCTTTCCTCTCAGACTTTTGTTTTGCACTTACTGTGTTTCTTTTTGGATTCATTTGTTGTAAACTAACCTTCATAGCTCTCGTTTCTTTGTATGTGAATATATTTTAGTCTTTCGCACCTGTTTGGCGTGCTATAACAGGAAAATGGAGGCGTCATTAAACACTGATGTGTATGTTTTTGTTGGTTTGTGTTGTGTATCTGTATGTTTTTGCTTATTGTTTTATGTTTTATGTGACCTGCCCTGGGACATAAGGTGAAGTTTAATATTTCTGCTATGAACTGACATGCTGACATCTAATGTATCCGGTAAATTGATGCACATTAACATACAGTATACTATTCAAAAGGTAAAAAAAAAAAATGAAGTGGCTCTGTTTGCTATTCCACTGAGTGAGCATGCACAATACCAGGATCCTGAAACGGTCTAACCTGAGTGAATCCAGCCATCATTAAACTATGCATACCTGTGATTTTTCTGCTATGAAATGTCACAATATCTGCTGTGGAAAAAAGCCTACCTCCCACTTATGGTTACAAAGATCGGCCTGCTTACTTGAACCCATAATGAAGGTCTGCAAAGGAGAAATGAGCTTGACTTGTTCCATAAACAAGCTGCACAGTAATAAATTATTATTTTTATCCAAGTTTCATTCCAGAAACTCCCTGCGCGCTTCTATTTCTTCTTTTATATTTGAAGGGTTATGCTTAGTCTTATTTGTTTATCGTTCCCAATGGATTCAGATTTACAGGCCTCCCCCACAACTGATATTTTCATAGCAGCAAAGTCACATGCTACAATCCAATGCTGCTGTTAATAAAGTCACTACAATTAAATTTATGTTTAGGTCTTTATGTTGTAAATGACAGCATGTGTCTCTTGACCTCTTTGAATGC